ATATGATATGCTTATTTTTGAGGCTTAGTATTCTAAGTTTTGACAATAACAAGATTATAAATTACTGAAAAAAATGAACTTCATAGCTGAGATGCTGACATAATTCTAATCAGATTAGTAATACTTTTGCTATAATCCATGATGCTAGATACAAAAATGTCATTTCTAAGTTTTAGAACAGTTGGCCTTCTAGTTAACTATGAGAGGAGTTGACACAAATTATGTTGACTTGACCTGACTTTAATAGCAGGTAGTTATCCCCATAGTGTGATTGCTGTCTGCAAACAGTAAAAATTACTGTAAAAATATATCTCATCAGTCTGAAACCTTAATTGGGAGCCAATCTCTTCTATTACACAAAGCCATGTGTGTGTGTGTGTGTGTGTGTGTGTGTGTGTGTGTGTGTGTGTGTGTGTGTAAAACAGAAATAAGCATTTGATGACATATTGTAGCTTTCTTAGGTTAAACTTTTTTTATTATAGTAACATATCAGAGTAATTGAAATAACTTCACCATACAGATATCACATGCTGGAGCATGACAATGCAACGCTAATTGCACACTGTATTGACATTTCAAGCATATTTTCTGTAACATTTGCATTCATATACAGGTAGTAAAGCACATGGGGATAATTTGAGTCATGATTCATGTTAGCAAATGTATGGCTTTCAAGCTAATCCTCATACCTAGAATCTGCAGCAAAACCATTAATATTCAGATGTTGTAGCATGTACATTAGTTATTATATGAAATGATTAGCTCAGGACCCAAGAATTGCTGTTAGCCTTTGAAACAGAAATATCAGTGTTATCTCATTACTTTTGTAAGGTAAGCCTTATTACTAATTTAGGAATTATTGGTCCATTGATTATAGCTGTAGATAATACAGCACAGTTAATGTAGAATGTGTAACTTGAGTAATTTTCCCTCAATATACAATACATCCCTTTATGATGAGGCCCCAAAAGCACCAAAAAATGGCAGCAATCTCCAAGTGTGCAGTAAATTTTAATATACCAATTTTGGTTGCAAGACTTATTTGTAGCCATGTAACTTGCTTTATATGGATCCAGACAATAAATGTTTTTTTAGGCAATAGAGACTTCAACCTGGTTCTTAAAAATAATCTCAGCAGACAAACTGAACTTGATGCAACAACATATTTTATGTTTTATTATTGCTGAGGCAAAACCACACCACCATAAAATGCAATGAAAACCGATGTTTAAAAGGCAGGATTTCTCTTTTCTTGAGGCTTTGTTAATACAAAGATCAAAATTTCACCTTTGAACTAAAAAAGAAATAAAGAAAGAATAGGCAGTGTAAGTGACAAAATTGTCATCATGAATATATTTCTAAATTTTTATTTATTTGTAAGTCAACATTAGACCAAAATATTTAGATAACTAATATGGCCCTTGAAAACTTAAATTTCTTGAGAGAAAAGCAAATTTTCAAAAAATCATCAGGTCATAAGAACACAATTAATTGTACAGGTATACGTTTTATTATTTAACCCCTATGACCATGTAAACTAAGACTCAAAGTTTAAATTAGCATTACAGAAAAGGAAAGGAAAGTCTTCTGTCACTCTTGAGGTATTTACTATTTTTTAAAGAATATACATTTAAGAATGAATCAATGTTTTATAGAAAATCAAATAATGGCATTTCTGCAGCTATCAATTTTTTGATACTTTTGAAAAAGTCGAGTAATGTATATGTTTAGATCTAAATAAATTTTTTAAACTATTAGTACTTTGACATGCTAAAGAAGAAAGTATTTGGATTAATTATTAAAACATCTGAAATTTCAAGTTAGATACAAAACTCCATACTCATATATTTTACAAATTAAAAAGACACTTAAAATGAAATCTTTTTATTGATGTCTAGAAGCTACTATTATCTAGTTGGGTGTAACTATTAGATGAAAAGAAGTTTAGGTTTCTTCATTTGGGTTTGCTTTAGTTTTAGGGAGGAAGAAATAGTTGAAACTGTTTGTGTATTTAGACATAATTTTGACATATGATAAAATTTGTATAGATCTTTGCATCTTACAGAAAACCAAGGACATTCAACCATGTTCTAGGCAGAGTTACCATTGCCATTTCCATATTTGATCCTGTTACAACTTCATTTTTACATTTTTAAGGTAAATGCAATGCTACTAAAATAAAAATTTGTTGCTAGTAAAATTAATCAAAATATGAGTAACAGTAGTTCCTTCAATATAATAGAGCAAATGGTAACTAATCTACAATGCTGAATTATTCAAGTGAAAACTAACTTGCAGTCTCAGACTACGTTTGTAGGTGATGATTTAAAACAAAAAAGGTTGTTTCTTAGACAATTCTAGAAATTATTCAAATATTGCACAGTTCTAGAAAGCATTTCAATCTCAGATTTACTGAATGAGCAGGGATATGTTTTTCTACAGCAGAATGAAAATATGCTTTCATTGTAAGTAAACCCAGTTCCCCTATTAAAAACCTCTGATAAGATTCAAGTTTTTGGAGTTTTCAGATAAAGCTATTTTCTCTCCTAGAAAAGGGAGTCACACCTGTACTATCACTTATGCTGATGTTTTAACCTATGAATAAAAATTTATAATAAAAACTGGGGAATATTTTACACCTCTAAATCATTTCCATGGCCTCTCGAGACTTCCATGGTTTATTGTTGTGTCTTCTCTTCTTAGTTGCTCATTAGGGAATAGCACTACAGCAGACACAGTACATAGCATACCAGGTAGTATATATAAATAATGAACACAAGGCTTTTATTCACAACTTCATCATATCAAAATACATCAGTCTAAATAGGCAAATGAAGGCAATAAAATTGTAATGCTCAAAGTAAGTCCAGACATAAGTAGCTAGAGAAATGAAATTTATTTGTTGAAATCAATTTGTGGGGTACTTCCACACATTTAAATTTACTCAGTTTTAAAATTGTGTGTGTATGTGTGTGTGTTTTCTGGGAAGAGTATTTCTCCTAGTGATGGGCATTCTTATTTTTTGTTTTAAATAAAGATTTTGCTCTGGTACAAAAGTTGCAAAGCACACACTCCAGCAAATTAAGTAATTATTTGTGATTTAAGATAATGCAAATGAGTGGCCAACAAACTGGGCTGTTATCATATATCAGACACTTAAAGTTATATATATATTTTTTGTGGCCATATGAATTTAAAAGAAAAATGAACTCCATGAAAAGACTTATTACTTGTTGATCATTCTTATGGATCATTCGGTAATATCCCAATTTTTGCATTATTTTTTCTAAAAAAAAATCCATAACATATTTAAGAATTCACAAAATGGAGTCATAAACAGTGTAGTCACTGTAATTTCCTTCTTTCTGATACCCTTATCCTCTTCTTCCACAATAGCAAATTATTCTTTGGGACACATGCAGAGAGGAAAAGTATCTACCAAATGTGGATGTTAGGTAGTAATAAAGAATCAAGTAGCTAGCAGTAATTTAGGAAACAAATAAATTATTTCAGCCTAAAAAAGACTCAGAAGATGGCTTGGAAAGCAAAATACATCTAACTTATAACTTTAGGTTGCCAATTATTCAGGCTATGAATTAAACCAGGCCAATTTGCCCCTCTCAGTTCTCCTGCTTTGGGGCCACTTCTTGAAATAACTTTTAGAATAGTAAAAGGAGGTAAAACATTCATGAATTTCAAAAATAATTAGCAGCTGGGAGAAAATAAAACTGTTGGGGGAAGAAGTTTAAATACATTCTAAGAAGTGACGGCTGCACTGATGATTTCATTGTCTAAGTAGTACGGCTTATATTTTTATGGAAATCTGAAAGCTCATTCTTGGTTTTAAAAACTGTATTCAAGAAAAGGAAGTAAACTGCTATGAAATTTATGCATAACAACTTTGGACAAGAACACTTCATTCTCTGCTTTGATTTTTTTAAAACCCTAAAGGGTACACTGATGACTTGTAATATGTGGTCACTGAAATTCTCTATTCACAGTCCTTTAACTGTTTTCTGTGGCGCAGTGAGAAACTACTGTATTAGACTTTGCAATATAAATTGGTTTCAACCTTGAGAGATTTATAAAAATAAGTTTGTCTCATTATCCTATAACACTAAAATGAGTGAAACGTGTCAGCTCTTCTACTTCTGCGAAACAGGAGAAATTGTATTTAACCATGTTAAACCCATCAAAGTTATACTTTCCAAATAAAAATGAGTGGTGTAAGACATAAAAGCCATATAGAAAGATTTTACCATCATTTTCTGTTCCTTTATGTTATTCTCTATGAAAAGTAAAAATGAAAGCTAGTTTACATTTTATTTTTAACCCATTGGATTGTCTTCCATTTTATTTATTTATTTTTATCTTTTTATTTATTTATTTATTTACGTTTTTGAGATGGAGTTTCACTCTTGTCGCCCAGGCTGGAGTGCAATGGCACGATCTCAGCTCACTGCAACCTCTGCCTCCTGGGTTCAGGTGATTCTCCTGTCTCAGCCTCCCATGTAGGTATGATCACAGGCGCTTACCACCACGCCCAGCTAATTTTTGTATTTTTAGTAGAGATGGAGTTTCGCCATATTGGCCAGGCTAGTCTCAAACTCCTGACCTCAGGTGATCCACCCACCTCAGCCTCCCAAAGTGCTGGGATTCCAGGCATAAGCCACCCTGCCCGGCCTATCTTCCATTTTAGACCATAATATGATCTCACCAGATCTTTACTGAAAATGTACATTATTACAAGTAGCTAAATTTCCACATAGAGGAATAAAAAGGTTAGAGAATCAGGTTATGACTTTTCTAGTACTTTAGTGTGCTATGTTAATGATAAACCCGTTTTAAATTTCTTAATCTTATCATCAAGCAACACCAGGCTTCTAAATCTTTTTGTTTCATTTAAAATGGCTACTATATATGAGAATTTTTAAGGTATTATACTAAACCCTTTTTCAGGTCAAAAGGCATGTTATCTAGAAAATAATTTAACACTGTAATTGGATCCTCAAGATCAATTTGTTTTATATACTCTGCAGCAAAAATAACATTTCTAGTAGGAAGGAATTAATTATAAACCTAGCAAGTTCTAGACATTCACGTACTTGTGTAAACAATTTTAACATGGTTTATTACATTTCCAGAAAGGTTAAGTCTTATATTCCATTTTCTGCTAATTCTTATTTCATATATTATTTAATATAATAAATATATGTTATTTGGGTGCATATGTGCATATATTTTCACACATATATATGTCTTATATACATAAAACAGCACTTAATGGTCATGTTCTTTGCATGTTCAACTTCAGGGGAAAAAATGAATTGCTGTTATGTATAACCAATGGCGATCTTCCTTTCTGTTTCACAAATGGCCATATCTGGATGTAAACAAAACATTGGAGCGAGTCATTCCAGGTGAATTGTACTTCAAGTTGTAGGTTGGTGTTCTCAAGAAGAATTGGGTACTCCCTGGTAGTAAATACCTAAAAACGATAGTTAACAAATTAGATTTTTACAAGCAAATTATAACTAACTCACTAAAGGGTTATGTGGTTAGCAATTTACGTATTCTATATGAGAAATGTTACTGTAACAAAAATGCAATTCATATAAAAAGATTTCCTCCCCCAGACTGTAGGAAAGAAGGAGAGAAGAGCTAAATATAGATGCAATATATGACGTTAGCATCCCAAGACATCCCATAAAGAGCCATTGTACTCAAATACTGTGAAACTGTTTATGTGGCTAATGTTAATTTAGAATTCATCATCAGTCCTTGTAAGTAATATGTGGGGCCAAATATTTTTTTAAAACATGTGATTTGAGAATTTGACTAGCCACATTAACAATAATTGTTTGTTTTGAGGGAGGCAGAACCACTGATTGTAATTTAATAATAGATCATTGATGTATTATTACTATAAGTAACCTAATAGAAAACGTTAAAGATTAACATTCCTAATTAGAATATAAATTTTATATTCTTTGACCATAGAGTGCTCATGATTACAGAATATCAAAAACAATCAGCTGGACGCAGTGGCTCACACCTGTAATCCCAGCACTTTGGGAGGCTGAGACAGGCGGATCATCTGGGGTTGGGAGTTCAAGACGAGCCTGACCAACATAGAGAAACCCCATCTCTACTAAAAATACAAAATTAGCCAGGCATGGTGGCAGATGCCTGTAATCCCAGCTACTTGGGAGGCTGAGGCCAGGGAATCGCTTGAACCTGGGGGCCGAGGTTGCGGTGAGCTGAGATCGTGCCATTGCACTCTAGCCTGGGGGACAAGAGTGAGACTTCGTCTCCCAAAAAAAAAAAAAAAAATCATGATTACAGGTTGCATGTAACCCTTGCAGCCAAATGTATTTCAAAATATGTGATTTTTTTCAGATTTTAGAAAGATAATATGGTGATTTATATATACTATATTATATAGTAATATTTATATTACTATATAACACCTCCATCAGAGCCTTAGAGCAGCATCTTGTAAACAAACCATTACATTTCTGTAGTAAAATGTATTAATATTCACAATAAATCAGATAAAGACTACAAATAACTTCATGTCAATTCAGGTCAGATTTGGCAGCAGAGGGGTTACTTTTTCTTTTTTTTGAGATGCAGTCTGGTTCTGTCACCCACGCTGGAGTGCAATGGCGTGATCTCGGCTCACTGCAACTTCTGCCTCCGAGTTCACGCGATTCTCCTGCCTCAGCCTCCCAAGTAGCTGGGATTACAGGCATGTGCCACCACACCTGACTAATTTTTTTCCTTGTATTTTTAATAGAGATGGGTTTCACCATGTTAGCCAAGATGGTCTCAAATGAGTTATGTTTTGTTTTCGAGTTTTCAAAGTTTTGGAAATTAAATATTGCAAGTAAGAGATTGTGCACCTGTAGAATCTGTTTTCCTGTGAAAAATCTTGACTAGCATTAGGCCAGTCCAATCTATATGTCCAGAGAGAAATGGCCAAGGAAATCTATATAAACAAATGCAAACAACGCTATTCAAAATATAAGTCCTAGTAATGATGAGAAGGAAATGCTATAAAATCAGGATAAAGATACTTATGAGGAATGTCTAAGAGCAGAAGCAGCAATATACAGAGATTTGTAATTAGTCATGGGAAATAAACAGTGGGACGGTATCAAATCATTTATTTTCTTCACTTGACATCAGAATTCTCCAGGGATAGTATCATACTCCCACAGATACATGATAAACAGAGGACTGAGGGCACAATTAGCTGTCTATTCTATGTTAAATAATATTGATAACTATGATAATTCTATGTGAATGGAAAATTGTATTTATAGTTGTGTTAAATGAAGTATGTAGAAAGAAATGTATTATAATCAAACTATACGCAGCATTCAGATTAAAATAGCAGAACTTTCTATAATATCCATAAACATCATTTTATCATGAATTATCTAATAATATCTTCTAAACCTATTACCTAATATCACAAACTATAAATAATTACTCAAATCATTAAGTTAATAGAGCAGTAAAATAACATAAAAGAAACCAAATTAAATCAAAATTGGATAACAGGTGATGAATAATAAAACAAATGATTTCTCACATCACAGATTATATAAATTACTTTCTTACGATCACTCGGGTAATTTATATGGATTAATTACTATGTCAACAATTGGTGGGGTCATGATGACTGATTCAGTATCTTCTGTCATGAAAAGGCTATCCTTCCTATCTAGGGCAAAGTTACAAAAGAAAACAAGGTGTTTGATCAAAATCCACTATTTCATAGTAGTTGAGAGTTATTCCACCTTCTACTGAAGATACATTCTGATTATACGGATAATTACACGGTAAACAGTAATGTCTACCAACTTTCTTTCAAAGAATTTCCAAGTAACAGTTACTATTGACATTTCAGTAACATTTACATATTCTTTTGAAATAACACTATTTTGCACATGAAAAAATAAAAGCACAAAGTCCAGGATCACAACTAACTTACACTCTTTTACTGAACAAATATTTAAATAGTGTTTTCTATGTGCCCAGCACTATTCTAATTGCTTTACAGATATCAACTCATTTAGTTCTCATAACAATTCTATATGGTAGATATTACTGTTAGCTCCATTTTACAGATAAATAAACTTCATGACGTATACAGGGGTCAAATGCCTTGCTCAGGGTCTCCTACCTAGAAAGTGGCAGGGCCAGGATTCAAATCCATACAGGCTAGCTCCAGCAGCAGAGCTCCTAGCAACCATACTATATTGTCATGACAATTCTACATAATTATCATTGTATACTAATTTCAGTTTTAAAACTAATGGGGACAATTATTATACTCATTTTTTCAGAAATGTGAAGTATAAAATAATCTAGAAAATAGAAAGATATTATATATGCCGCAAACCTAAACTTTTTCATAGAAGAAGAAAAAGATGAAACTTTTTATTCAGACTTGAAAAGAAGTTCGGCATGAACTAAAAACAGCATATAAAATTACATTGGAAGAAACACTTTTCTTCCCTAATGCAAGTGCTGTGGGATATTTTAAAGTGTTGCAGGGAAATACAATGGATTATTTGCCTTAACATCTCCATTAATATGTCTTGGGAAATCCAACACTAGCTGAACATCGAAGACTGTTTTTGAAATGTTCCTTGCAATGAAGATAAATAATCTGATTTTTTAAAGCAGAAGACTATCTCAAGGAAGTGGGTTTACGGATTAAAGAATTTGTGTAAGGCACTAAAAAATGGGAAAAGTTTAGAGCTTACCTATTTTTCTAGCTTATTATTTACATATGAAAATGGCTAACTCATTGCTAATTCATGCCAAGGAGAAATACCTCAAACTACCCTATTTGTTTCATAGCCTCATTCCTCATCCTCCTCATCCCTAAGGCAGGTGTGCACATCTTTACATAACCATTATATTAAATGCAAACATAGAGCCCGCATTTATGTAATTCCTGATTGATGTAGAATTAGTTTGTCTTTTATATACCAATTTATTGCTGACCGGGAGGATCTCTGGAACATGAAGCATATCAAGACTGGTAGAAATTAACCTTGAAAACATAAGCTGCCATCCCCATCAAGCTACCAATGAGTTTCTTCACAGAATTGGAAAAAACTGCTTTAAAGTTCATATGGAACCAAAAAAGAGCCCGCATCTCCAAGACAATCCTAAGTCAAAAGAACAAAGCTGGAGGCATCACGCTACCTGACTTCAAACTATACTACAAGGCTACAGTAACCAAAACAGCATGGTACTGGTACCAAAACAGAGATATAGACCAATGGAACAGAACTGAGTCCTCAGAAATAATACCACACATCTACAGCCATCTGATCTTTGACAAACCTGAGAGAAACAAGAAATGGGGAAAGGATTCCCTGTTTAATAAATGGTGCTGGGAAAATTGGCTAGCCATAAGTAGAAAGCTGAAACTGGATCCTTTCCTTACTCCTTATACGAAAATTAATTCAAGATGGATTAGAGACTTAAATGTTAGACCTAATACCATAAAAATCCTAGAGGAAAACCTAGGTAGTACCATTCAGGACATAGGCATGGGCAAAGACTTCATGTCTAAAACACCAAAAGCAACGGCAGCAAAAGCCAAAATTGACAAATGGGATCTCATTAAACTAAAGAGCTTCTGCACAGCAAAAGAAACTACCATCAGAGTGAACAGGCACCCTACAGAATGGGAGAAAATTTTTGCAATCTACTCATCTGACAAAGGGCTAATGTCCAGGACCTACAAAGAACTCAAACAAATTTACAAGAAAAAAACAAACAACCCCATCAAAAAGTGGGCAAAGGATATGAACAGACATTTCTCAAAAGAAGACATTCGTACAGCCAACAGACACATGAAAAAATGCTCATCATCACTGGCCATCAGAGAAATGCAAATCAAAACCACAATGAGATACCATCTCACACCAGTTAGAATGGTGATCATTAAAAAGTCAGGAAACAACAGGTGCTGGAGAGGATGTGGAGAAATAGGAACACTTTTACACTGTTGGTGGGATTGTAAACTAGTTCAACCATTATGGAAAACAGTATGGCGATTCCTCAAGGATCTAGAACTAGATGTACCATATGACCCAGCCATCCCATTACTGGGTATATACTCAAAGGATTATAAATTATGCTGCTATAAAGACACATGCACACGTATGTTTATTGCAGCACTATTCACAATAGCAAAGACTTGGAATCAACCCAAATGTCCATCAGTGACAGATTGGATTAAGAAAATGTGGCACATATACACCATGGAATACTATGCAGCCATAAAAAAGGATGAGTTTGTGTCCTTTGTAGGGACATGGATGCAGCTGGAATCCATCATTCTTAGCAAACTATCACAAGAACAGAAAACCAAACACCGCATGTTCTCACTCATAGGTGGGAACTGAACAATGAGATCACTTGGACTCAGGAAGGGGAACATCACACACCGGGGCC